TATATGGACCTGTCGTCAGACAGAACACTACAAATAAATAAATTTCAGGAAAGTCCACAATACTAAAACTAAGAATATAGTAATATAAAAAAAATACAATTTTACCTGCCACTTTATATGGGTGTAAACCTGAACCTTCAACCAAAGGGCAGAACACAGACTAAGGGTATTTGAGAATGGGGTGATGAGGAGGACATTTCAATCTAAAGATGAACAGAAGGGTAGAAAAAAACTACATAATGAACAGCTTCATAATTTATACTCCTCACCAAATATTACTAGGTTGAGTAAATCATATAAAATGTAATGGACACAACACGTAGCATGCATGGGAAGAGATAATGCATGTACATATTTTAGCTTTAAAATCTGAAAGACAAAGACTGATTGTGAGACTAAGGCATAGATGGTAGAATAATATTAGGAATATGATGTAAGAATTTAGATAGGATTTATGTGCCTCTCTCTCTCTCCTTCTTCTTCTTCTTTTTTTTTTAAAAAAAAAAGTGTTCTGTCTTACGACAGGTCCATATTTTATGAACAGGATCCTTCCAACCCCTTCAGGTTGTCAGGGACCTGCTCATACATATATACATTCTTGGCAGAGATGATCAGAAGTGGTTTGCCATTGCCTTCTTCTGTGTGTGAATGGAGTAATTGTTGGGATGCCCCGGAGAAACCGGGGAAGCCCCCGGAGGAAAACTCCGTGATGCCTAGACCACGGCCTTGCCCAACACAAGTTATAAATTTGAGCACCACCGGGAATTGAACCAGGGACCCCAAGCTTACAAGGCTAGTGTTCTGACCGCTATACCACCATGGCGGTTATGTGCCATAGGCTAGGGAAAAGTTGCAAGTTCAGCAATTAATGTTTGAGTACCATAATATATGGGGAAATTTAAAAGCTACGCGACAGTCAACTTCTGAAGAACGTCTCTTCTACAGAAATATATTTTGAAGTTTCACACTTGTGCTATTTGCCGAATGCCAAAACAAAAATTTGCCAAAAACCTGGTAGTTCGAATAGAACCATACGTACAAATGTCTGTCATTCGTCAAACCACGATTATTTCCTGCAGAGCTGACAACTAAGAAAAATTAAACACCCAAATATTGAGCACCACACAACTGCGTAACACCTCCATGCACTTGTCATTCACCAAATGTGAGTCAGTTTTGCGATCACTTGTGCTACATCCCTTTCCCAGTATCTCCCTTTGCATTTATCACTATGGACTTGTCAAATAAAGTTGTTTTAGAACTTTTACATCTCTATGACCAGAAGCCTGTAACACGGAACACAAATAATCCTTTAAGAAAAAACATAAATGAGATCACTTAACGACGGACGATACATGGGCCTTAAGTTTTCAGTGCATAGCAAGTAATTAAAAAAATATATATTGAAGGCATCCATTCAAGCCTTACTCACAGGCTGAGCTGGTTTTAATTCGCAATTATAAATATTTTGTGAGCAGTGATCTAACCAAGGCTTTACAGTAAACACACAAGTAGTTGTTATTAATAACTACATAATTAAAAACACACAATTATAAACACATTTTATTTAGTAAATTAAACACAGTTAACCTTATTTTTCTTGTCATGCTTCTTATCCATTAATCAAAAAGCACTCGGCAAATACATCTCTTAATTCTTTGGGCTCTGACTTGTGGTTTACTGGAAATTTTCTACAGTGGTCAAAGAGAGGTTAAGTCATCCTGATTATGTTACCATAAACCTCGAATAAATCTTCCTCCTTCTTCATTGTCAAATGTACCTTGCAATGAATATCTTAAGTTTGATGTTTCACGTCTTAAGAAATAAAACACAGCACAAGTCATCATTACAACTGGTAGAGTAACAGTACAGTCCACGACTGTAATCTTGAGACTTGCTGGGTGAGGAGGTGGGGTGAAAAGAAGGAGGAAAGATAGCGTCTGCCTTTAACGCTACGGACTTACCGCATTCCTTGCAAGTCTCAAGATTACAGTCGTGGAATGTAGTTTTTGTAATGCACGGAACACAGATGCCAGTATGCTGAAAACATTTTCTACTACTTGATGAGCATATTAAATTATTTAATTAATTATTCTTGTCCGTCTATTCACAATATTCACAATATGACGCAACTATACCAACTTATGAGCATATTAAAGTTGAAAGGTGAAAACTCTTTCCACATTAGCTTTCTTATGAATACCTGTATAACATTACAAAATTATATATCTTAAACTGAAGCTGTCACCACCTACAAACACACATTGCACAATGAACAGTTCTTTCTTACCTTTAATGTATTTTGTAACATATAGGAATTGTGGTATAGCACTGTAATGGTAGGACATATGGCAACGCTTACCTAATCACCTTCAGATTAGGACCCTTGCGCGCACACACACTTACTCCATCGATCCTGCCATAGTTGGATGCACTGGCGGAAGGATTCGTTTGGAATCTTCCGGAGTTCAGCCGTCGCATTCGATTTGATGTCCTCCATGGTTGCAAAACGCGTCCCCTTGAGGCCCATTTTCCGAGTAGGGAACAGCCAGACGTCACTCGGAGCGAGATCCGGAGAGTATGGTGGTTGGGTGATGACGGAAATGCTTTTCTCGGCGAGGAACTGCTGCACAACCAGCGAGGTGTCGAATGTGACAGCCGAACTCCGGAAGATTCCAAACGAAGCCTTCCACCGGTGGTTCCAACAATGGCAGGATCGATGGTGTAAGTGTGTGTGTGCGCAAGGGTCCTATTCTGAAGGTGATTAGGTAAGCGTTGCCATATGTCCTAACATTACAGTGCTATACCACAATTCCGGGAACTTTTTGACTGCCCTACGTATATCAAAGCCTTGCACACCTCGAGTACAATGTTTGTTATAACTTGAGATAAATATCTGAATAAGTAACAAAGACTGAACGTTGTCTCCAGTCACCAGAAATCGGAGTGTCACTGCTAAATGTTCCTTTGCCAGAATGGCCTCCCCCCCCACCAAATCTTCAAAATATATTAACCTATATTATTCAGGATATATTCAAAGTCTACTGAAGATGTTCACAAAAGTTTCCTTATCTCCCAAGTTCTTTATGTAAATCTACCAGCAAAGTACAAAAATAACAAATACAGATAAGCGAAGATGGAAACAGCGAAGGATCATGTCCAAAGCCAGGCTCTGGCATTAGCCATGCTGAAAACTTCAAACATATTTATTTACAGTTATTTAATGACGCTATTTCAGTAGCTCAGACTATACAGTGTTGAATGAGAGGATGATAGTGAATAATGAATTGGAAAGGATGTGGAAGGAAGTGGTCATGGCCTAATTTGAGGGAATTAGGAAAACCAAAAAGACCTCAGTCAGGATAGTGGCACCTGAGCCGAGATTTGAGCCTGAGACCTCTCGAATACAAAGCAGGAGTGCTAACCACTCAGCCACAATGTTCGGTGAAAACTTCATCAGCGTTTCATAACTACAGCATAAACTAATGTACTCACACATCATATAAAACTATAGCCAACAAAATTCCATTTATAACTCCCCACATCAAGCTATTTTTGGTTTTGTGCATCTCCTGAGTCACCTGAAGAGTCCGATCCATAACGGGAGTGTGAGCACTTCCAGACCTGCAAATGATAGTAGTACATTTATGTGAGAATTTAGAGACTTCAATTCAATAAACCTTTTTGAAATGTAAAAAGATACTTATTTATTTCCTTGCAGTGAAACAATCACAAGGTGTTAAAGGCATCGTCACAGTTCACAATCATAATCTGGAAGAAATGTCATTACTTAATCTATTCACTATAAATCAGTAGAATGGTCCATACAGACAAAATATATCCACCTAACAAATCAATCACAAAAGGGAACAAACATAATAACCTGGTTTTTATTATTTTGTTACTTTTGTCCGTGAACCAATGTGGAATGAACTATATGTCTCTCTCCACAATCACGAAGGAAGAACTGAAGTTGAATAATAAAGAAACACTATTTTATTTCACAGTATTTTCAACTGAAATCTGCAAAGTTCATAAATTCACATTAAATTACAAGGCCTATACAAAACTTGATGTTCTCATGATGGTAAAGCTCATTTCTTGTAGTCATCTAAATGATTACAACATTCTGGATAAATATATCAGCTACATTTTTAAGGTAGAAGGTGAGTGATAATACTGATATAAGAAGAACTGCCTGATGCATTTGCTACAATTTGAACTTGACAAATGTGAATAGCCGGGAATTCCCCAAAAGAGACTTCCCTACGAATTCACTTCAGGGCGCAGAAGCACATGAAGGTCTTCATGGAAACACCTGTCATTATGGACAGATGGTTTGGTAGAATGCTGGCTCCAATATACTTACTTATAGCATAATCCCAGTCAATAATTAAGAGCAACTTTGTTCCTTGAATTTCAACTGTGACCAAGACTACTTTCACAAAACAAATGTCGGACTTTCCAGCAGGTGCTGACAGCACTGATTAGAGATACAATGAGAAAGTCACTGTCTCTGCTCCTGCCAGTTGAATCATTCCACGTCAAATCAACAAACTTTAGATGTAAAATTTGCATAACCAATAATACTTGCAAGCTTTATGGTTCTCCTTAGAAGGTGATATACTTGAAATGTTGCCTTCTGTTTCCACTAACTGCATTTTGACATTTCAAGTTTGATTCACTAAAATGCTCATAACTCTGGTCCAAATAAGACAGAGAGCTCACACTTCTTCTACTATGACACAACAACCCGAAGTCGAGCCTTGGCCTACTCCCATGTGGGAGGTTTCTATGTCTTTGAAGTGTGGATTTATTATTACCGAGTGACAAGCCCACTGCCTCTGCACAATTTCTGCTCAATCCTGAACTGTCTTTGTAGTGAAAATGGCCGCTGCATTTTGCTTACGAAACATCTCGTTCATGCCGTAAATCTACGACATGGGACCACCGGCTTTATTCCAAGTTTGTGCTACGAATTCTTATCACCCTTAAAAATCCATCGACCTCGGTCGGGTTAGAACCCACGAACCTTGGATCCAGTGGCGAGCACGTGAATCTAGCCCACCGAGGGCGACGAGAGCTCACACTTGCATATAGCAAACACCTTAAAAATATCCAAAAGGGAACTAACCTCATTTTAACCTCATTGAATGAAAACGCATTCACAAAGTAACTCCCAAGCCACAATTATACGTTACAAAATATCACAAAATTACAATAATGTAATATAAACTAGGTCATTTCATTTCACTGCATTACATAAAACATGTTACTGCGAAACACTCCTCATACCATTCAATAACGACAATAGCTACCTACTTTTCCCGCCCGCATGATACCAACATGCTAAAATAAAGTATTCCAAACATAAAAAGAAATAGCTACCTATGTCACAGAGAACAAAACATAAAAAATCTAAATCTCCTAAATTTTCAACATTTCAAAATTCACAATCAAAAATGTCATACCCACCTTCCACAATTCCCACATTATGATTATGGAGACTAGACTACATGGCGCAACCCAGAACACAACCATATTTCGACTCATTACCGTGAAAACCTTAAATCCTACAAAAGCAGCCATATTTAAAATACTCTCTCAAAGTATAATCCTTGTGCATCTATTTGAGCTTACAGCAAAAATCTATTTCTTTTCCAATAACCACCCTTAGCACCTTGGCAACTGCATGTAAAGTCAAGTTTGACTTCAAAACTTAGCTTATTCAGCAAATATTTTTTACGTAAATACGTCTATATTTTCGGGTCAGTGTCATTCGGCAAAAACTGAAACGAAAAAATGTAACTACATTGTTATGTTACCTTGGAAACGTCAATTGTTTACTCGGCATTATTGTTACCTTGGAAACGAAAAAGTGTAACTTCATTGTTATGTTACCTAGGAAACGTCATCTGTTTATCAACAAATAAACAACAATGGTTACCTACATTGTTACCTTACCTTACATTATATTACCTTACCTTACATTATATTACATTACTTTACATTACATTCATCTACCACAGACCCATCTTAAGCATAATCAATGTCTTAATCAAACTTATCTCAAATGTAAAGCAGATATGACATATTTACGTCAAATTATCCGGAACCATGGTTCCACTGACAAATTTTTAAGATCAATTATGCACGTACCTTTTAAAGGCCTCACGACAACAATTCTCAATGAACTTAAGCCTATAATATAGAAGGTTCAGTTTGGATGTCTGCAAAATAATAAATTTGAACATTTCAATGCCCTGCATGAGCTTTTGGTAGAAGACTGTTTGGATGAGTGTACAAAAGCTAACATAACTGCTTCTCTAATTCAGAAAATACTTTCCAGGCATGTAAACTAACAACTGGATTCATAATCCTTTGATAATACAATGCTCTCTTGTGATGATGGACTGAAAATAAATTTAAGAATTATGCCACATAAACTTTTCACTGATTACAAGAAATGAATACATCCCAGTTCCTGGCAGAAAAAGCTATTGCAGCTGCGCTACAATTTTCAACAACATAGTTGAGTAAGCATTGTCTGTATGAATGAATATTGTTCTTCCAAAATGTAATTTGTCATAAATAATTATATTGTGTCTATTTCATCTGCTGAAAAACTAAAGGCATTTCTTACTGCATTATGTTAAGCTGAGCAGGGAACTTTCCAACACCAAGAAAGAAAAAATTATTTTGCCAGTGGTATGCCTTTATCGCTGTTATAATGAGTTATTGATAATGAGTAGGCACATTTAGTGACAATTCAACATTGAGCGTTCATTAGACAAAGAATGTGTAGAAAGTGCATTCAAAGATTTATTTTGTAAGTTCCAAATACCACAAGTTCCCACAAAACTGCGTCTCTAAGCTTACACAAAAGTGGTGGACCATGGGTCCTGTTTGTGAGAAATAGAGAGTCCACGAGTGTGCTAACTGAAGAAAAAGTTTGACATACAAACATTATCAGAGATTAGCCATCACAAACTGCTAAGGAGTCTAACACAAGAAACATATTTCACTGCAGTATGCATTTACAGGCATAAGACTAATTCAATTCTGCCCACCTGATTACAATAAAATGTATATAATGTTGATCACAAGTGACGAAGCATAGTTTTAAGTTGGTGGCTATTTCAATACACAGAATTTAAGAGTACGGAGCAATGAAAATCCCCACGCTACTCAGAAAGTGAAAAAAAAAACAGAAGTTTGGTGTGCTGCATGCGGCAGATCAGTGACCTGATATATTTTCACTAAAACGTAAACTTTAATCAGTACATGAACAATGAATGAATCAATTCTTTCTGCAGAAGAAAGGAAATATGGGTATTCCCACCAAGATAATGCCATAGCACATATGATTGATTCCATGGTTCAACACAACAGTAATCAGCAAAGGATTTAACACCCTAATCTTAGCTACTGTGACTTTAATCTATGAGAGAACATGAACAGAAACACGTATAAGAATAACCCTCACACAGCTGAAGTTCTCCAAAATGAAATGACACACGTAATTGCTTCAATTGTAAGACTTGAGGTTCTCACAGCGGTGAGTATGAAGATATCCGTCTTCTGGGTTATTGCGCTGTGTAGTCTGGTCGATGTTAACCAACGTTTCAGAGGTCATACTGCCTCCGTCATCAGGGCGATGA